ATGAAGCTTTTTTCATGGTGTTTTGAATGAAGAAAGTACTTTTCTTGGAGGAGAAAACCTTTTTTATTTTATTTTTGAGAACGTTTGGGGGATATATCATATATATTCCTCCTTTGGTGGGGTTAAGCTTCCACGTTGCCTGTTTGTAAAAGGCTCTCGGTTTTTTTATTTTATTTAAATTTTATAATTATGTAAAGTTGAATGCAAAAATAATATCAAAAAAAGCTAGCCAGTAGAACGACCTCAAGGAGCATCGAACTCGGGCCCTTTTACAAAAGAGGCATGCGCTCCATCCAACTCCCCTGAAAACGCTGTTGTGCAAATATCCAGACGCTATACTATATATACGATTCATATAATATTAATATATATATATAATATAAAGAAATTTTTTTTCGGGGGCCCTTAAGAATCGGAGGCCCTGTGCGGTGGCGCCACTTGCACCACCCCAAGGCCGCCCCTGAACATTGGTATAGATTTTCAATTGATCTCTATCAATTGAAGGTGGTGTTCTTAATTGCAGTACAAGTTCTTACCTCGTCCCTCGTCCCTCGACTGTTACCAAATTTCTTAACACTCTGAAGTTGTTCTAGTGATCCGTAGATAACGCAAAATGGTAACTAGGGGTGGGCATTCAAACTGGAAAACCAAGAAACCGGGCCGAACTGGACCCAAAAAAATTGAGTTGACCAAAAATTAGACCAAACCGATTCTAACCGATTCCAATTTCGTTTTAACATCTCTAAAATCCGGACCACACCAAACCAAACTGGAATCAAATAAAAAATAAAAAATAAAAAATTGAATATATTTTGGTGGCCCAACTACTAATCCCATGATTTTTCTCACTTCCCAAACTTAACTGCCAACATCTAACCTTACCTAAGCCCCACAACTAAAGCCCATCAACCAACACCTAACCCTAAAGCCACTTTTTCTTTCCTTTCTCTCTCCCTTATCTTTACTTTTTCTTCCCTTGCTCGCCGCTTCTCTCTGTCTTTCTTCTTCACTCGCTCTCTCTCTCTCTCTCTCTCTCTCTCTCTCTCTCTCTCTCTCTCTCTCTCTCTCTCTCTCTCTCTCTCTCTCTCTCTCTGTATTTTTGTGTGTTCTTCTCTCTACCCTCTTGCTATGAAGCCTTCTTCATAAACTGGTTATGACGATCCAAGGGCTAGATTCAAGCATCAAAGTCTCATGCAAGGCCATGAAGAGCCGCATAAATATGTCTTTTGTGGAGTTTTTTTTTAAAGGTTATGTGGAGTTTTCATAATATGCCGAATTTCTTTTGTGGGTTTCATTAGATTCGTGTTTGTTTATGATTTTTTATTTAGATTCATATAGAAGGATAAATGAACTATTTTGGATCTCATTTATGTTTATTATTTCCTTTGGGTTTCTAATCTACGGTTGTTTCATTTCCTTCTGTCTATGTGACTTGCCAGAGAAAAAGTGGAAAAAGGAATAATGAAATGGATCCTGTGATGTTCAGATGAAGGCTAAAATATAAAAAACAAGAATTAAATGAAACTGGTAGAATCGAACTGGAATTTGGGAGGTTCGGATTGGTTCAACTCTCTTAGTCATTTTTAATAAAAACCAGACCAAACTAGACTGGATGAACAATACGGTTCTAGTTTTAATTTTAGGTGAGAACAGGGCCGAACCGGATCGTGCCCACCCCGATGGTAATAGTCCTAGTTCTACCCATATGTCTATGTCTCAGATATGGCCCCTTGTTTACTCAATTTTTGTCTTTATTTTCTTTACTTTGTATTAGAGAAATATTAAAGTCCTAATTTGTCTTGAGGTATAGAAAATAATCAACAATGAATCAGTTTCCCATTCAATACACAATTGTTTGGTTAGAAGTCAGGTTTCTTGGTGCGCAAGTTACTTTAATTTCATTCAAATCTGTTAGGGTTTAAAACAGCTAATAGTGGCACGCTTGCAATTAAACACAATCTCTGGCCTATTTATGAGGCTAGGAGATTTGTGACCCTTTACGATTACACACAATGAAAAGGGCCTCTAACATTGTTTGTCATAAAAATTTGACAATGCTTATGAATCATAAAAAGGCTTTTTGAAGAAGTACTATCAAGTGCTTTTTTAGGGCTTGTTTGGGAGCAATTCTAGGAGGGCCAAAATCACATACATGTAGAAGCATCTCCCACATTTTTCTCCATATAATCACTTTAAGTAGGCCTCATCATTTGGCCCGCGGGCTCATGGCCGATGGGGGCCCGCCCGGCCCATCGAAAAAAGCTCGGCCCGGCCCGTTATGGGCTTTGAGATGGCCCGGCCCGTCTTGGGCCGGGCTAGGCTTGGGCTTGGGTGTCTAAAGCCCGGCCCGACCCAATTAAGCCCAAGAAAGCCCGCCCCGGCCCGTTAGGCCCGCATACATATATAATTATGTATAAATAAGAGTTTAGGTTTAGGATTTTATCACCTAAATCACATATATAATTTGTTTCATTTCATTTACTTTTCTTTACTCATTCCTAGTTTATAATTGGATGATTAGCACATTAATTTGTGTCAATTATTAATTCAACAATTATATATATATAAATAAGACGAACAACATATCACATCACCAAATATAATCATATCACGAAACATAATTGTACCACCAAATATAATCATGTTTTTCTTGAACACATCACCAAATATTTGCATATTTATT